TGCGAGGGCGTGTGCATGTGTGAGTTTATTATCTCATCAGTTCGTTCGCTAAAATCAGCCCCAATAAACCAGAAACGGGCGGCTGTCTCTCTGGCTGCAGTTCAGCTGAGCAAACTTTCATTTCGCCGATAAAATAGGACAGTAAAAACTTTAATGCTCTTTGCTAAATATATAAAGTATAATATGAGCAAAACAGTCAAGTCTGCAGGTCGTTTACCACTTTTTATCGCTTTCCACATATAAAAATAAAACTCATCGCAGATGAAGTTGTGTAGGCGCGCTGCTGCGCGTGACATTGTTTATAACCCTTGTCTGTAACCTTCCACATCATCCAAGCGGTGTCCTTATTACCCAGCATGGTGCATTTCCTGTGTTAGCAGTGATAGGCCTCGGGATGAGCTTCACGGTGTGTTTCATGTCCTTACTTGAATGCATGGGCCTCCTTGAGGAGGAGCAGGAACAGATGCTTCTGACAGAACAAACAATATCACACAGTATTTATGCACCGAGTTGATGCTATCACAGCACGGTGGGAGTAAGTAGTAGTCTGTCAGAGTATGCTCACAGGCAAAACATTAATAATTCTTCTAATGAAGTGTGTAGTTTTTCATGTATTTGTGCAGTGCATGTCTGTGTAGCACTAATATATACTTAGACTATCTTAAAAACCAACAGGTGAAACTGAGACAGGAATTCTGCGTTCACTGTCAGTTTCCTAAACGACGTCCGGTGCAAGAACTGCCGACTGCTTCGATTTTAAATTCCTGCAGAATAATCTGAGACCCTGCAGCTAATCCCCCTGCATCGACCTTTGAGTGATGACCCATTCTTTACTAAGCATTTACTATCGCGGCCCGTTGTCTCCATCTCGTCGGTTTTGAGAGAGAAGCTGTGAGAACCCGCTCGCGTCTTTGTGCTGGAAACTCTTATGCATCTAAGAGTCAACGGCGTGTCAAGGTTTCGTTTCATTTGTGCGCTGTGATGACTTTTTCGCGCCGCTCACTCGGCTGCCACTTGAGAATGTTAACGGAAAACTTCTGTTGAGCCAAGCGGAGACAGACGCGCTGTGCTGGTAAGCTGGCGACTGAAAGTGATGCTGTAGGAAGTGATTGTGCTCCTTGCTTCCTGTCCGTGTTTTGAGCACTTTGGTGCTGCAGAGGAAATGTAGAACGAGGTTGGTGGAGGCTGAATGCATAAAGCGGCGGTTTGCATTGTGGAGCCTTTCATCAGGGGATGCAGCCAGGCTGCACAGGTTTCACTGGTGAACAGCTGCGGGCACAGGGAAATGCTTATCAGTGGTTACGTGATGGTAAGTAACAGAAAAGAAGCCAGCGTGTGTCATGCACGCAGCATGCAGATGTTGACATTTCAAGCTATTTACTTAGTGTTGTTTGTTTTGGGTGTGTGCGTGTGTTTGTGTGATAAATGATCAACGATCACGTGATAATCCTGCCGGACTCGATGAGAAGTTTTTCTGGCCGTGGCGTTAAAACGTCCGTACATTGTTGTGAGTGCTGTTCAAAGGAAGTAGCCTGACCAAACTCAATCACTGCACTTTCCACTTACTGTTCCTGCATGTTTATTCTTTATTTACTCAGCTTAACTTTTTGCAGCTGCTGATCTTTATACAATGACAAAAGTAAATTGTCTCCTTTTTAGGTTTCGCCACACAGTTAGCTGTTTTTTTTCTGCATGTCCACAAAAATGACGAGAAACTGAAAAATGGGCTTTTGCTGATTCACTCACGGTGCTGCTGTCAATTGTCAGAGAGATGCATTTTATTCGTGTTTACA